AGGATCCTCAGCTTGTGCCTCCTAGGGGACCCCTCTTGGAAAGCTGCTCTGGAAGCCCATCATATACTACAGCGTGCTGGTTTGGAGAAGAAGTACCCAACCCGACACGACTGAATACAACCACCTCGAGTTCAGAGACATGGTCAGCCAGGCTTTGGACGACGCCCCTTAAAATTGGAACCTATGCCGTGGGCCCTTAGGGGCTGCCGTCATCAGCCTCAAGCGCATCTCCTGGACACTGGGAAACCCGTGGGAGCTCGAGACCTCTGAAGGTAACATCTTGTCTCTCACGATTACGCCGCCAGCCCTAGTGAAGCACCACCACGGCCAAGGCAGCCCATAAGATGAGCCTGAGCGACGAACAGGTGGGCACCTCAGCAGCACGGCGGGTGTTGAACGACCCCACCCTCCGCCGACAGGAAAGAAGCTGCCTGCTCACGTACCTCACCCAGTGCTTACGGACCAAGTCCAGACTCGCGGCAGCGGGTTACGACATAGACACCCAGTGAGAGAGCGGCCATTCCACGGACGATATGAGGCACCGTTTCGGTTGCCCCCTGGTAAGGAAAATAAGATCTGCGTGTCTCGAGTAGTTGGAAGGGTATCCTAACACAGCTCAGCTCGCCCGCGGTTTCCAGGTCCAATCCCCTGAGTTTTAACCGACCCAATGAGGTAGGCTTTTCCTGGAAGGTCTGGTCCAAAAACGGAGACCCCCTGAAGCAGCCGTGGCTGGAGAAGGTTTAGTTGACGGTTCCTGTGCCAAGCATGGCCCCAAAGTTTGGCACCAAACTGGATGGATTGTGGTAGTAATAAAAGATCAGAGAGAGTGCACTGCCCTCGTCTCGGACAAGCGGGAACGTTGCTGCCAGCCACGTCGCCTGCTGCTGAGAACGCTGCGCTGGCAATGGCCCGCTATTGTCCATGCATTCGTCAGATTCACTGAGACACTTGGGAGCCATGAGTTCATACTCCAGGGCCGGCTACGATAGGAATCAGATAAGTTCTGAGCTCGAACTTTTTGCTAAAAGTACATGTAGCGGTACCCGCTCCACCGTATGCAAAATGAAAGCCGATCTGAATCTCGACAGCCTGTCCCCCTTGGCCAGGAAAAAGCTCCTGACCCATGGAAACGGCGCTGCTGACCGAGTGGCCAAGGCGGCTGCCTGGAGATGCGGAGGACCACGGGAAGCTGAATCCAAGGACTGTCAAGACGAACGATATTTGATCGTCCGCGTTCTAACTTACCGTGCCCAGAGATTGCCTTCCTGGCCATCGATTTCCCCCTAGCCTGGAGGCGACGCGCGTGGCCAGCCAGTATTTGAGCCCAACATTGAACCCCTGGTGGCTGCAACCCTCCCCGCTCCTCCCCCTCCGACTCCTCCGCCTCCTCCCGTGAGGGGCCACGGGGCCGAGTCTACCGATGCTCCTCCAGACGAGCACCAGAGCAGGCACTCTCACGACTGGGCTCAACTTTCAGAACAGGTCGCGGCCCTAGCCTGTCTCAGAGAGAGGCGGCAATTCACGTGTGGAAGTCCAGACGTCGTACAGAGTTCGGCAATCCATGTCCCCCTCCTCGTGCTTGTTCGAGCAGCGCAACAGGCGCTAGACGAAGGAAGCGGCGGCAGTCCCGAATGATCTGCCGCCGCAAGCGCCTCCGAGGCGCCACCATGACCCAGACAAAGTCAGATGCCATGGTCCTTCTCCTCCTCCTCCTCCTCCGCCTCCTCCTCCTCCTCGGCCTCCTCAACAACAGCGTAAAAAAACAACAGCAGCAACAACAACCACAACCACAACCACAACAACAACAACAACCACACCAAAAAAACACAAGCCCAACAACAACAACAGCAGCAACAACAACAACAGTAACAATAACAACGACGACGACGACGACAACAACAAAAACAACAGCAAACCAACAACAACAACAACAACAACAGCAACAACAACAACAACACCAACAACAACAACAACAACAACAACGACAACAACAACAACAACAACAACAACAACAACCACAACTACCTCAGCAGCAACAACAACACCACCACCAACAACAACAACAACAACAACAACAACAACAACACCAACAACAACACCAACAACAACAACAACAACAACAAGAACAACAACACCAACAGCATCAACAACACCAACAACACCACCAACAACAGCAACAACAACAGCAGCAACAACAACAACCACACCAACAACCACACCAACAACAACAACAACAACGACAACAACAACAACAGCAGCAGCAGCAACAACAACAACAACAACAGCAACAACAACCACAGCAACAACAACACCAACAACATCAACAACACCAACAACACCACCAACAACAGCAACAACAACAGCAGCAACAACAACAACCACACCAACAACCACACCAACACCAACACCGACAACAACAACAACAACAGCCACAGCCACAACCACAATCACAACAACAACAACTACTACACCAGCAACCACAGCAACATCAACAGACAACCCAATAGCAACAACAACAATAACAACAACCACAACAATTACAATACCAACACCAACAGCAACATCAAGAAGAACAACCACACCAACAATAGCAACAGCAACAACAGCAGCAACAACAGCAACAAAAACAATAGCAACAGTGACAACAACAGCAACCACAATTGCAACAGAAATCGCAACAGCAGCATCAACAACACCAGCACACCAAACACCACCACCAGACACAACAACCAAGCAACAACGATAACAACAAAACAATAACAACAACAGAACAACCACAACAACAACGACAACAACAACAACGACGACGACGACGACAACAACAGCAGCAACAACAACAGCAACAACAACAATCTCAACAACAATGCTAACAACAATATCAACAGTAACGATAACAACAACCAACAACAAACCACGAACAACCAACAACACGCAACAAACAAAGCCGCAGCTAGCAAACAACCAACAACCACAAAAACAACAAAACCAACAACAACAACAACAACAACAACAACAACAATCGTTTTAAGACTGTTCGCCCTTATCTGCTCGAGTGTCGAATAACGCGAATTTCCCAAACCCTCGATACCCGCCCTGTTCGTCTTCGATCGAACCCCTTTTGGGGGGTATACCTTTCTTCCCTGCAGGCCGGGCCCCGGCAAGCGGCGGGGCGGCCGCGGACCGTCGGCCTGGCCAGCGGCAGCGTTGATCGGCGGGGCGGCCGCGGACCGTCGGCCTGGCCAGCGGCAGCGTTGATCGGCGGGGCGGCCGCGGACCGTCGACCCGACCCCAAGAGGGACGGACAGGGGACCGACCACGACGACGACGACGACGACGACGACGACGACGCAACGACGGCGACGGCAACGACGACGACGAGCGAAAGCGAGAGCGAGAGAGAACGACAGCAGAGCCACGAAGGACACGAAGTAGGCCACGAAGGGCGACAGCGGGGACACGAAGGGAATGCGTATGGGGCCACGAAGAGCGCGAACGAGCGTGGGCCACGAAGGGCAGATAATGCGGGGCCACAGAAGGCAACGATGGGGCCACTGAGGGTAGCACCTGGGCCACGTAGGACAATGAGGGGACCACAAACGGCGACAGCGGGGCCACGAAGGGCATGCACATGGGGCCACAACGGGCGCGAACGAGCGGGGGCCACGAATGGCATACGTATGTTGGGCCGCGGAGGTTAAGGACAGGGCCGCTGAGGGCAACAACGGGGACACGAAGGGCAGCGAGGGGGCCACGAAAGGGCGACAGCGGGGCCACGAAGGGCATGCATATGGGGCCACCACGGGCGCGAACGAGCGGGGGCCACGAAGGGCATACATATATGGGGCCACGAAACAAAGCGAGGGGGCCACGAAGGGCAGCAGGGGCCACGAAGGGCAGCGAGGGGGCCACGAAGGGCTGCAACGGGGCTGCAACGGGGAGGGCAGCGAGGGGGCCACGAAGGGCTGCAACGGGGCCACGAAACAAAGCGAGGGGGCCACGAAGGGCTGCAACGGGGCCACGAAGGGCAACGAGGAGGCCACGAGGGGCTGCAACGGGGCCACGAAACAAAGCGAGGGGGCCACGAAGGGCTGCAACGGGAACACGAAACAAAGCGAGGGGGCCACGAAGGGCTGCAACGGGGCCACGAAGGGCAGCGAGATCCCGATTCCTAGGAAATCTGTGAAGGAGTCCTAAGCGTGAGCGCGACTCCAGGGTGCCTGGGTGTCGGGAGCGCGGCGCTAGAGTAAATTGCAAGAAATTCCAACGCAAGGGCGCTATTCTTCAGTAAGTTGCAAGCAAGTCTCCAGCGAGAGCGCGACTCCAGAGCGCAGGAGGAGCGATTCCTGAATAAACCGTAAGGAAGTCCCCAGCGAGAGCGCGATTCTTAAATAAAATGCGAGGAAGTCTCGGGCGGGAGCGGGGGTCCTGGCTGAATTGTGAGGAAGTCTCAGGCGGGAGCCGTTGTTGTTGTAACCCGGGGGCCAGGGGGCCAGTTTGAGCAGGAAGACTTCCCTTGACAAAAAACAAGGTGCGAGCCCCGGGGGCACTTCAATGTAAAAAGGAAAAAAAGTGCACCGGTGTGGGGGGATCAACAATAATTATTCTTCGAGGGTGCGAGTTCAACAACAACAACAACAACAACAACAACAACAACAACAACTACTGCAGTAGCAGCAGCAGCAGCAGCAACAACAACAACACCTACAACGATGGCAACATCAACAACAACAACAGCAGCAACAACGACAGCAGCAGCAACAACAACAAAACGACAACGACAACAACAACAACAACAACAACAACAACAACAACAACAACAACAACAACAACAACAACAGCAACAACAACATCAACAACAACAACAGCAACAACAACAACAACAGCATCAGTAACAACGACAACATCAGCATCATCATCATCCTACCAATCCCCCTCCCTCCCCGTCTTGCTGCTGCTCCTCCTCCGACCCCTCCTCCTCCCCCGCCTCCTCCCCCTCTCTCCTCCGTTCGTGAGGGCGGAGTGGCCGTCTGGCAACCTCAGCTTCGCGTAGGGCTCGTGTGGGTCCACCGCCCTGTCCGCCGCCAGCACCTGACTGGTCTGCGGATGGATGGGGCTAGGATGTTGCACTGAACTATGCTCATGTATTCTGTGACCTTTGGTGCAGGCGGTAGGGCCAGAGGAGCGTGGGGGCAGGATGGAGGGGCGCACGAGAGGGGGGGAGAAGGGTCCAAGCATGGGACGGGGCCTGGGCGAGCGGAGTGGCGGAAAGGGCTGGAGCAGAGCAATTTTGGACACGCACGCACACACAGACACACATCACACACACATGCACACATGTATATGTATATGTATGAGCAGATATCTATGTGTAGCTGCAGACACCTATGAATAAACATGCATACATACATACCTATATACATACATACATGCATGCATGCATGCATGCATACATACATACCTGCATACACACATACATGCATACATAAATACAGATATACCTGCGTACATACATACCTCCATACATGCATACATGCATGCATGCACACGCATACATATATTTATATATATACACATACATGCATACATGCCTGTATGCATACATACATACATGCATACAGGCACACACGCATATATACCTACATACATACATACATACATACACACCTATACACACATACAAGCATACATACATACATACATACATACAGACAGACAGACAGACAGGCAGACAGGCATACAAACATGCAGACACACAGACACACACAGTCAGACAGAATGACAGACAGACATACGGCGATACAGCCGTACAGATATACAGACAGACAGACATACATACATAAGTGCATACACACATACACACACATACATACATACATACACATTCATACATACATGCGCACATACAGAGCTACACCTATACGTACATGCATACATACATACATACATACATACATACATACATACACACACATACATACATACATACATACATACATACATACATACATACATCAACGCATACAAACGTACCTACAGGCGTGGATGACTACATGCATGCATACATACATGCACGCATGAATACACACACATGCATCCATACATCCATGCATGTACGCACGCATGCATGCGTACAGATGTATACGTGCAGCCATGCACGCAGTCACACATACACACATACACGCATGCACTCATACCTGCATACGAACATACATGCATGCATGCATACATACACACGTACCTACCTACCTACATACATACATACGGACATCCATACAGTCATGTGTACATGTATACAGAGATGCATGCATGCATGCATGCATACACAAACGCATACATACACACAGACGTACATACATGCATGCACACTTGCATGCCTACATACATGCATACATACATACATACATACATAGGTACGTCCGTATGTACGTACGTATATGCATACATACATGCATGCATACATACATACACACATGCATACATGAATGCATACATGCATACATGCATACATATGTACATACGTACACACGTTACATGTATAGCTTCATACATACGTACATACACACACTTCATTTGGCGTCGCGGCCTCGCGAGCAGCGTCGAGGCATAGGAGATAACACACAACCGCACACAAATACACACAATCACACACAAACGCGCACACACACACACACTCACCACAACACAGCACAGCACAGCACAACACAACACAAAAAAAAAACATACACACACTCACACATACACATGCACACACACGCTTAATGGTGCTGCGGCCATGGCGCAGCGACGCGACGGAGTCAGTCGGAAAAACGCCCAGAAGTGCTGCCGAGGCCGCAGAAGCGGCCCGAGGCTCACGCAGCCCGGCGGGGACCGCGCTGTGCGGGCGTCCCTATGGCGGGCAGCCGAGAGAGGGGGACGAGCGGGGAAGCTACAGAAAGGATAACTGACCCGCGTGGGAAGGGGCCAGGGAAACGCACGAGGGCACACTCGAGCGCTGCACAACAGTGGCAGACCGTGAGGCGTCGACAAGAGCGGCGCAGCCAGAACCACGGAGACGAAGAACAAGCGACCACAGCACAGCGAAAGCCCAGAGGGGCCCCAGAAAAGGTGAAAGGCAGAGGCAAGCACGAGGGCTCGGGCGAGACCCACGACAGGGGGTTGGCGGTGCGCACGAGGGCTTCTTAGAAGCAGGAGTGCTTCTAAGACGCCCTCCCCCCTCCCCCCACCCCCCTCTGTCCGTGGCTGAGGGGCACTGCAGCAGCGGTGGCCAGCGGGCCGCGAAGGGCGACAGAGCGCAAGGGCCCGGTCGAGAAAACAAGTGCGGGAGGCGGGCAAGGACAGCGCCAGAACAGAAGACGCGAGTAAGGGCGCGGCAGAGGAAGGCCAGATATTGGAAAGAGAAGTATGTACATGCACCGATTATGACCAGACCCATCCTTAGCCCTGGATCGGTGCATACGCCCTCCTGCCTTGGCCAGGAAAGCCTATGGACCGATCTGCCTCCTCCTCCGCCTCCTTCTCCTCCGCCCCATCCTCCGCCTCCGCCTCCGCCTCCGCCTCCGCCTCTGCCTCCGCCTCCGCCTCCGCCTCAGCCTCCTCCGCCTCCTACTCCGCCTCATCATCCTCATCCTCCTCCTCCTCCTCCTCCTCCGCCGCCGCCTCCTCCTCCGCCGCCTCCTCACCCTCCCCCGCCTTCTCCCCATCCTCCTCCTTCTCTCCTCCTCCCCCTATCCCCCTCTTCCTTGACGCAGGAGGCGAGAGGAGGCGAGGAGGACGCCCAGCCAAGCACCTCTCCCCCAGCGCCGTCCGGGTCTGGCTGCGTCGCGGCCGCCGCTCCTCGAGGGCCGGAAGAAGCAGGGGGAGAGGGTATGCTCCAGCAGGGCTCTCGCTCGAGACATCCTTGCAAAGTCGACCCCCGGCGCGCGAGGAGGTCAGGCCCGACCGCGCCCCCAGGGACCATTTCTGGGGCGCCCGCCGGGCGTGTCCGCGTGTCCCAGCAGGGCTGTCGCTCGAGATATCCTCACTCATGAAAATTACTCACTCTCCTGATTCTCGCTCTCCTCACCCTCACCCTCCTGCCTCACGATCCTGATCCTCACCCTGCTAATGCTCATTCTCATTATCCAGATCCTCGCTCTTCTCGTGATGCTCACTCTGCCGATCTTCACTCTGCTGATCCTCCCTCTCCTACTCCACACTCGCCCGATCCTCACCCTGCTGATCTTCATTACCCTCATCCTCGCTCTCCTCACCCTCGCTCACCACATCCTCACCTTCCTGCTCCGCGCTCGACTGATCCTTGCCCGCGTGACCCTCGCTCTCCTGATCTTCCCCCTCGCGAGCCTCGCCCTCCCGATCCTCGCGTCCATTCTCCTCTCGACGCTTCTCCCCTCTCGCCCAGAAAAGCGCGCCACTTCTTCCATACACAAGACTCCCAGTCAACCGCAGAGCGGCCGGCTCATCTTCATGCTCACCACCGTGCCCCTGGCACGAAGCAGAGTGCATCGAGGCGCCTGCGGTCCTGAGAGGTACAGGGTTTGTAAGGTCATAGGGGCCAGGACCCAGATTTCCCAGGCGCTCCTGGGCGCTACCAGGCGCTTCCTCCTCCTCCTCCTCCTCCTCATCCTCCTCCTCCTCCTCCTCCTCCTCCTCCTCCTCCTCCTCCTCCGCCTCCGCCTCCGCCTCAGCCTCCGCCTCCGCCTCCGCCTCCTCCGCCTCCTCCGCCTCCTCCGCACCCTCCTCCTCCTCCTCCTCCTCCTCCTCCTCCTCCTCCTCCTCCTCCTCCTCCTCCTCCTCCTCCTCCTCCTCCTGGCTCAAGTCCTGAGCACACCGCGGGAGGTGCAGGACTCAGCATTGCCACCCAGGGAAGGCCCTGGGTGTACGGGCTCAAGCCTTTGCTTTCCCCAGTGCCAGCCTGGTCCGCCCCAGGCAGCGGCACAGCCACGTCCCGCACTCGTGCCACCAGTTGGGCCCATTTCCTGCGCGTGCTGCCGCACAAGGGAGTCAGGAGATGTCGACGGCCCAGAGGAAGTATGTCGTTTGCTCGAAGCGCGGCTGCAAAGGGTGGGCTTGGTGCTCTGCTAATGCTCGCCACTGCATTCAGTGTGGCAACCGTTTCAAGCAGCGTTCGGAGTCAGTTTCGCATGCAGACCGCCCAGCAGGGGGAGGTGGTGGAGCTCTGGATATTCGGCCTGACGTTCATGAGCCACCGCCCAAGCCAGGCCGCTGGAGACACTGCTCCCGCGGGCCTGAGCCCCCCCTGGCCTGGGCCGCGGAGGAGGTCGCAAGGTCACCTTCGCGGAGGACGACAAGTGAAGATCCAGTGGCCCTGGCCCAAGCGCAGGTCACTTTCTGGAAGAAGTGGAAACCAGACGGAGAGGAGCACAAGTCGGCGATCGGCAAGCTCAAGCATGCCAAAGCGCAGGCCCTGTCCGCCAAGAGCCTGGAGCAGCAGGCGCAGTCACTGTCATATCAGTTGCAGGTTGCGCGCCAGAAGCTCATGGCCCAGAAGAAAGAAGCGACGGAGCTTGTCCACACCATCGTCGAGGCGAGTGAACACCACGGCAAGCTGGTCGCGGAGATCGAGACAAACACCCAAGAAGTGCATTGGAGTCTCAGCACAATATGGCCGCCTAGGCGGCAGCGTACGAGGCATCCAAAGATGAGGATTTACTCACCACTCTCCAAGGCATGCTGGCAGCGCGCATGCCTGAGGGCGGGGAGGCCCCACCAGAACTACGTGCTAAAGCTTCGGAGCTGGCGCAGCTGTTCGACAACATGCAGCACCAGCACACCATGTTTGTGGAGTCACAGGCGAAGGGTGCTAGTAAGGGCAAGGGGTCCCAGCCAGCTCAGGAGCCTGACGACTCCCCCGCAGTTGGCGAACGCGCTGATGAGCCCGATGAAGCCATGCCCATTCCAGGTCAGCACGCCCCGACGCCGGTGGGCGACAAGGAGCTGGAGGAGACCTCGCCCGCAGACGCCGTCGAAGCGGCCCCGATGGACGAGTCGCAGGGCCGCGTTCGTGCTGCTGCGGCTCTGGAGATGGTCGCCAACGGCATGGTCAAGATCCAGGGCGACGGCGGCACCGAGGCCAAGAAGGCTAAGGCGGCTGCAGCGGCCGCCGCGACCGCAAGTGACGGCCCGTCGCCAGGGCAACCAGAATTATAAGCTAGCCACCACCAGCGGATATTGCCGGCCTGCCGCGCGCAAGTTTCTGCAAAACCCGCAGGCCAGAGAAGTCACCATCGCTTGTGCCCAGGAGTGTAAGTTAGCCGAAGGCGATAGCATTGTACGTCAGATACAATGGTGCGCGCCTCAAGGGTGGCTGGCCTACATAACTCCTGCTGCGGTGAACCCCATCAATGAGCTGGTTTCAGGAGTCGAGTTTTTGTTTCGGGAGGGTTTGGACCTGGGGTTCAACCTCTGCTGTTTCCCTCGGCTTGTGTGCCCGCTCGTTTGTCTGGAGCGATCCTCGTGCTCCCAGGGTCCCCAACATTCGCTTTGTGTTCTACGTATTTTCAAGCCGCTGTAGGTCTCTCAGGGACCAAGTTAAACCTCTTGGCCACCACTGGCCAACTTCATGATGACTTAGCGCATTCAGTTAACTTTAAAATCCCCTCGCTGTATAGGCCCCAGGAGCTGCCCACTCGCAGCCCAGTGGGCCCGCAATTGCCAGAAGTGAGTTGGCACCAGACTGCCGCGATCGTGGATTATGCCTCGCAATTGATCGATGATGCTCAACGGCCGCCCACCGATCAGCAGTCGAAGTCGATCCTGGGCCACGTGCACCACACCCTGGCCCAGGACTTGGAAGCTACAATCAATACAAGGACCAACACGCCCATTAAACCCAGTAAGTTCCCCAGGGCTCAGCCCCCTCAGGTGATTAAGGCCCCCGCGGAGGCCAAAGCGGCTCGTATCAGAGCCAACTGGGCGACTTATACGGGCCCGTTAAGATGGTTGTGTAATCGAGTTCAGGAAGTTAGGAGCTGCATTCAGGACTGGAATTTGTTTGAGTTTCAGAACGCCCTGGGCAGCCTGGAGGATTGCCCCGAGTTAAGCTCCACCGCGGTGCCCCTCAAGGAGGGGCTTCAGGATACCCGAGTAGCCGCAGGTTTGCTTCTTACTTAGTTCAAGGTCGGCGTTCTGAATCAGACTCTGGCGCTGCAAGTGTTAGACGAGTTGCTAGACCAGGTCACCAATCACCTGCACCAGGAGCAGGCTGGCCACTCGATTGTTGAATTGATCTACAAACAACCCTTGGAACGCGAGTTCAACAGCTCTACCAAAGACCAACAATACAGCGCCCAGGTCCCTTACGAGCTATCTAACTATTATGAATATGTTGATCGGCCTGGTCTTGCGCATCGTGCTGTTGAGTCAGGTTTTCCAAGTTGATTATTTCGTAACATTATATTCCATGCCAGCGAACGCATCGTTTCAATACAAGATTGCGCGGTCATCGGCGGTAAACCTTGGAGGGGCATTGCCGCTGGCAGCATTGGGGCCACGTACCTAGTGCAGATGTACGTGCTCGCCCCCTTGGACATATGGTCACATGCCCATAGTCACAGTAGGCTCGCGATGTTCATTGATGATATGCTGCTCCAGTGCCACGGCCGCAGTTTCAGCCTCATCGTTAGCCAGTTGAACACAGCCGCCAGATCGATGGCGGACTGCATCAGCCACGAGTTTAAGTGCCAGGTGGTCAGCAAGAAGACCCAGGTGCTAGCGTCTCACCAAGCCCTGCAGGACCAGCTCAGGACTAAGCTGGGGCCTCTGGCAGGCCCGAACCCTGATCGTTCGGGACCCAACCTGGGAATGGAAATTGGGGCTGGCCGCCCCCAGAGAAGATGGAGGAATTTTCGGAAACGTCCGGAGCGTCTTGGAAAGATGCGTAAAAGACCTAACAGGGTCCGTATGCTGAAACGTGCTGGGGGTAACACTCACAAACTGTATAAGAATGGCCTTGAAGCGGCCACTACCCTTGGAGCTGAGGTCACTGGCACCAATGGCACTCGGCCTGTAGCAGCTAGGTCGCAGATTCTGGCTGCCGCGGGCCCGAGACGCTCGACCCGCAGCCGCAGCTTGACGTTGCTCATCCTCCAGCCACCCGCCCGCACTTAGCCGTGGCTAGTCTCCCGCAGCTGCGGGCTTGGACTGAAAGACATCCCCTTGAGAGTTTCAAAATCGTGGGGTTCCTCCAGGGGCCCTCTCAGTGTGGCGGTGATTTCGCTTAAACGTTTTTGTTGGAAATTCCAGGGGGCGTTGTTCTTTGTGACTGCCTCAGGTCTTGCGTACTCACTCCCAGGACACTTCCCCACCTTCCTCCAAAAGCTCATGGAGCACGACTGGCACGGCCAGCTCGCCTCCACAGCGGCCGTCAAGCTCGGCCACGCGGACGCTCAGTTAGATGTCGCTGCTGCTCGGATTGTTCTCCCGTCAGACCTCCCTGGACACCAGACTGGCACCCTGCTAACCTTCCTCAACCAAAGTATCTGGACCATGGAGAGAGCCAACGCAGCAGGATATGATGTTCCAGTCGGGCTCTGCCACAGATTATTGCACTGCCCGAAAACTGAAGAAATCAGAGCCACTCACTTCTCGGCTGCGGAGTTTCTGCGTTTAATTGAGCCCCCTCCCCAGGCCCCTCTTTTGCGTCGTGGGTCCCCGCTGGTCCCTGAGTTCCGTGGAGTGCCTCCTCCTGGATCTGGTTTGGTGTTTGGGGAGTTTTGGTGTGCTCAAGTAGGTATCAACCCACAGGAAGCCTTCAGCGAGGGGGAAGTGTATATAGACGGCAGTTGCACCAATCACGCGAACTATGTGACGGTGAA